GTGGACAACCTATCAGAAGTTCTGAGTTTGAGCCAGTACACAGCAGCGGTTGCCTCAAACCTGATCATAAACGTATCTGCATCTGAACCCAAAAGGCTCTCTCCTCAATCTCTTAAAACACTGAAGTTTTCCAAGACTCAGTTAAAAAATACTTTTTTTCCTCATTGTATAGTGATGAGAAATAAAATACCCTTTTTATTGCTTCACTTTTCAATGAAAAAAAGTTTCCAAGCTTAATTTTGATGTAAACATTTATTAATATTTACTCAGGGATTTTGAAAGGTTTATGCAACATGGGTTCTTAGGGATTGATTTTACACACTAGAGGTGACTAGGTGGTGTGTGTAAGGCCTGACAGCTAAGTGACTTTATGAACAGTCAATACACATCACCTTGTTTTTGTTCTTGGGATGACTGTGCCACTTGACTCAGAGATGGGACAGTTGCCTAAAAACTTCCAGGAACGAGGTAAGGTTTGAAATAAAGTTTAATCTGGGTGAATTCAACACAGCTATATTCGGATACACTATAGAATAAAACATCCATTCCTTTTTTTTGGCTGAGGCTGGGTTTGAACCTGCCACCTCTGGCATATGGGGCTGGTGCCTTACTCCTTTGAGCCAAAGGTGCCACCAAAACATCCGTTCCTTTTACATGCTTGAAGATTTATTTCTGCAGCTATCATTTACTTACTTATTCTTGATCTATTCAAAAGTATATTCCTGTGTGTATTCTGCAGTATTTAGGGGCAAAGTTGAATGATAACTGTGACTTTCTGGTGTTCAAGAGAAAACGTGTATGTACTATGTGTGCTGTGTGTGTGCCAGGAGAGAGAATAAGAGGGAGAATAAAGTAAATGGAGCAAAGTGTTAAAAATCACTGAACTTATACCTTTGTCATACTATTCTTTCATCTTTTCATTATGTTTGTTATTTTTTTAAATTAAATTTTATGGTGGAGCAAACACTTACCTACTCTTAGGCTAGATGTGTTGCCTATGAACAGAAGCCAGGGGCCAGGAAGGAGATGCCTGGGGGTCAAGGTAGGTCATCCATTACCTGGACCTCTGCATGCTGCTGGGGACTCTCTGTGCCACCCGTGTGCCCCTGTCCAGCTCAGACCTGTGCCATCAGCTCTTTCTATCTTCCTATATTCTTTTCCTTTCCTTCTAATATTCACCCATTTTTCTTATGTCTGGTCCTGCTTTTCATCCTATCCTTCTGTGTCAGTACGTTCAGTGTTGTGAAACATAGTTATTTGGCCACAAGAACAACAACAAAAAATAAGGATAGCATTCTAACTCACAAACTTGGAAAGAGGCGCCCTTGAAATTTCATTCTTCCAGGAAGAGGTCAACTCAGATTTCAGCAGAAATGTCAAGTCATGTGAGATTTAAAAACACATTTGAAGAAAGTAGGGCAGGAGAAGAGTGTTTTGCTGCAAACCTCTGAAAAACTAATTTTTTTTTCCTTCTGGGCCTGCCAAAGACTTACTGTTTCCCACGCTACAGCAATTTGGGTTCCAGCCTTTATCTGAGGTTTTGGTTATTGAAAACTGTCACTACTATGTGTTTGTGGTTTGCTTGTCTGAAGCCACTTCCCGGAGAAGTCACAGCAAGGCAGCTGTTTTACCCAAGTCCAGGGACAGAAACCAGGATGGTTCTCTTGCCTGGGTAGGGGTGGGGGTGAACCATGGGTGGCAATTACTTAGGAATGATGTTTCAGGATTTAATTCCACTAGAACAGGGATCTTGTTGAAACACTTCTCCACTTTGCACCTGACCAGCTATGTGATTTGTAAAGGAGGGTTAACTTCAAACTCACTTGCTTCCACCGTCACAGGAAGAGAGATCCAACTAGATTCCTCTGACTGTTCGGCTCCGTAGCTCTGTGAAGCCTCAGCTAGCAACTGCCCCTGACTGGACATAGCCCGATGCCCGACTTTCTGGTGTCAGTCATTTTAAACCCGGTTCCAAACTTTCATGCCTTTCAAAGCTCAGTCTGAAACTGAGAGAACATGAGCTTTGGGGCCACGTTCATCTGAGGGGAGGTTGCACTTCAACTCATGCCTTGAACTCAGAGTGACTTTTAGAGTCAGCCTGCAGAAACTGTTGAGTAACAAAAGGAGGGCCATGAGAACATACACCTGACCGCACCTGGCAGGCCTCTATACCCTGAGTTTCTCTTATAAACTCTGCAAAGCTGACATACTGGGCTTGGGTTTGGCTGTGCGTTGTAGAAAGCCTGAACATATAAAAGGTCGTTTAGGCTGGTGAGCAGCTTCAGGAAGCCCCCAGGACTCACGCTCCCCTCTTTCTGCCTCACCACTTTCAGGGAGTGGTCTGTGCTTCAGGGTCCGAGAAGGCAGCCATGATCCAGCCCCACATCCACAGTGAGCAGAGGGATGGAAAAGTAGTGGAGACTTTTAAGGAGACTTCCCAGGAGGATCACCCAATGCTTCCACTTACATTCACCAGCCAACATTTTGTTACATGGCCGCTCACTCCTAGTTGCAGGAAAGAATGGGTAATGAAGTCTTTGCGTGAGGTGAATGTTTACCAAGTTGATTTGGATTTCTATTATCCAAGAGGCTAAGACAACAGATTTGTCTGTTGGAAGAGGAAATTAGCATCACCTGTCACAGAAAGTATATCATTGAAGAACAAGAGCCTTGGAATCACTGGTCCTAGGGTTAAATTTTAGTGCTGGCTTACTAACTGTAAGATTTTGGTTAAACCTCTTAACCCAGTGGTTCTCAACCTTCCCAATTCCACGACCCTTTAATACAGTTCCTGTGGGTTGAGACCCACAGGTTGAGAACCGCTGCTCTGAACCTCTTCGACCTCTTCTAGTGTAGTAGAATGCCCATAGTTGACCACCTCCCTAAGTTGACCTAATTTTCATAGACCAGACACATACCACATGTATATATCAGTACAGCAGGCCTAGTTCCTCGTGTTGACCACTTTGTTACAGTTTTGGGGGTGGTCAACTTACAGAGGTTCTACTGTATATCACCTGTAAAATCAGCATGTTGATTACATCATGGGGATAAAATGAAGATTGAATGTTGTTTGGCACAGTGGCTATTGCTAGTAAAATAGACCCTACCCCAGCATCTTTGATCTCACTTATTCTGAGTAATGTGATATCGACTTGATGTGATAAACTATATTTAATTCCTACTTCTTTCATGTCCTCACTGGAGAATTAGTGAGTCTGGCTTGCACCAGTCCAGCTGGGGATGTGACAAGCTAATGTATGTTCCCAGAGGAAAAAGAAACTTGATGGATGTTTATGTAACGTTTCCTGCTGGGGTTACAGGAAGTACTTATGCTTCAGAAACGTGTGGAGAACAGGACCATATAGAAACAGAAAGAGCTCAGGGGAGGCAGCTCCTGGCTGGATACTCAGCTAAGGGAAAGATCTCAGGTCTCCAGAAGAGGGAGCTCAGACTGCAACTCTGAGCCCTTGGAGTTCCGGCAGTGTCTGACTCACTGCGAGTTACTCACAGTGTCTGTTCCAGGAGCAGAGAATGACTCAGGGAAAGGGTGGTTCTGATTTTTACCCGTGTTCACTCACCACTCTGTCTTGGGTAGACTTTCAGTTATAAATACTTGGTGCTTTCTGGGACTGCGCACTATGTAGGCCACGAGGGACATGAGCAAGACCTCAAGCCTCTGCCCTCAAGGCTGCCACCACCTGTGGGGAGTCAGACAAGAAGAAGGCGTGGCAGAGGGCACAATTGCTCTCTGCTCCCCATGCCAGGTTTGGCCACCTGACTTGCTGTGGCCAATGGAATGTGGGCAGACGAGATTGAGCTGGTTCTCAGAGCACCCTGGCCTGCTTTTGTCTGCACTGTTTGTGTTTTTCTCCATCCTATGAGAAGATCATCTCCCAGGAAGCTTACTGTTCCAAGGAGGATGAAAGATACACACAACAGACTCCCGATCTACCTGTAGCTTGGAGCTAAGCCTAACTCAGCCTCGTTTGGGCTGGCCTGAGGCACAGACTTGTACACAAATTTCACACTATTTAGTTTGGTTCCTACCATTTAGCTTGGGGTGGTTTGTTAAGTAGCATCACTGTGGCAATGGTTAGCTGATACAAGGCACAATTATGAAATGTGAGAAGGATTACAGGGAGACACCGAGGGCATCGGACAGTCTAGTTGTAGGGAGAGTCTTGGGGGAGGAATGCTTCATGAACTTCATAAGCTCGTCCCTGTCTGGATCTCATGTTGCTTTTTATTCTTGGGATGTTCCAGATCAAGTCAGTCAGCAGGATGTGGCATCCCTCAGCATGTGTCAGAATTGTTTGTAAAATCAGAGTTAATCTGTAGGAAATATGGGAAAAGTTCTCTGACAAGTGAAATATGAGGCTCTTTGGGCTTCTAGGGGGCCATTCACTCATTGGTTGTTCATGTAACACATAGGAATTGATGCTAGAATTGTGAATAAAGCAAAATAGGGTTTTTACAGACTTGGGAGTCATATTCTAGAGAGGGGAGACGTGGCTGTTGCTAAATGTCACAGAAAACAACAGAGCAGGGCTAGAAAATATGGGATCGTATTGGGAGAGAAGGGTGGTGCAGATTGACACAGGGAGGTGAGAGAAGACCACAGGAGAGGGTGGCACAGACTGGAAGGAGGAGAGGGATGTGTGGTGGCCATGGCTGAGGACAGAGCATCTCAGCAGAGGCAGGACTGCACGATACACTTCTGAAGAGCCAGACAGACACTTGGGCGACAGGGCCCCTAGCCCAGGAGTATCCGTAGGTGCTCCATGGATTTAACTTTAGGTGTGTTCGGTGAACAGAGCTACAGAGAAGCAAATCCAAAAATATGGAGTTTTCTTGTGAAATACAACAACAAAATAAATCTAGGCAAGGAGGTTTTCGTCATCCCAGGAAGCCCCCAGACCCTCCCCTCAGGACCATCTTTAAGGAATTCTCTCTTTGGGGTTTCACAGCCCCTGCTGACCCTCTGTCTCCTTTCCTAGGCGTCTTGGTGCTAGACCTCAGATCTCCACTTCCTGTGTCTCCCGGAGGTTGTCAGGAATGGTGTTCAGCTTGTACATGTTGATGGTGGGGGCTTCTGCCCTCGCCATTCAGCATGAGACACACACAGGTAAGAAGTAAACCCTTCAGCTGGAAAGGGTTTGCCTGCAGCTACTCTGGGGAAAGTTGTTATCTAGTGAGGTTTTGTGAAAATCAAAGAGTTACATGTGGCTGGGCATGGTGGCTCACCCCTATAATCCTAGCACTCTGGGAGGCCAGGGCAGGTGGATTGCTTGGGCTCAGGCATTTGCGAACAGCCTGAGCAAGAGCAAGACCCTCATCTCTACTAAAAATACAAAATTAGCTGGGAGTCCTGGCAGGTGCCTGTGGTCTCAGCTCCTAAGAAGGCTGAGACAGGAGGATCACTTGAGCCAGGAGTTTGAAATTGCTATGAGCTATGATGATGCCACAGCACTCTAGCCAGGGTGAGAGAGTGAGACTCTGTCTCAAAAAAAAAAAATAATAAATGCTAAATGTTAGTATTCATGCCGTGGTAAGTGACAGCTGTGGCTTCTTGTCCATCCTCTTTGCTGTACCCTGGGTGGGGACCCCCATACCAAGGAACACCCCAAAGAAGTGGCATGTTTGCCCTTGATGGAAGGTGCCTCTGAATTTTAACCACATGACTTGCCAGAACTAAGGTTTTCTGTCCGAACTCTGCCCAGATAGATTTTTAATGACAGAAAATCAACAAGTGAAAACTATAGCCAAATTTTTATGTCTTTTTTTTGGTTATCATATGAACCTAATTTAACCCTCCACACAAAATGTAAGCTGGAATTGAAAGTAACCCGGTTATGTGGGAATTTCAAAGTCATAATAAGTGTGGGAGGTTAAGGGGTCTCTAGGGTGCAGGTCATTTTGTTGGGGCACATGACATCTTCCTCAGATATGCTCCGTGTCTTCTTGCCAGGACCATCCTCAGTCTGGGGTCCAGGGAGAGTTTGTGACCTAGGCAGGTTTTGGACCCAAAGCCTGACCACGGTGTCTCTGTCCTTCAGTGGCCCCAGAAAACTGCCGATTCCGTGGCAAGCATTATAAGCAGGAATTCAGGCTGGAAGGGGAGCCTGTGGTCCTGAGGTGCCCCCAGATGCCATATTGGTTGTGGGCCTCTGCCAGCCTCCATGTTGACCTGACATGGCGTAAGAATGACTCTGCCCACACAGTTCCGGGAGAAGAGACACGAATGTGGGCCCAGGATGGTACCCTTTGGGTTCTGCCAGTCTTGCAGGGGGACTCTGGCACCTACATCTGCACTACCAGGTAAGCCGCTCTGGGGTGGGTCTGGGGGAGGGGGCTCCCTGCAGATAGACTCTTGTGGCCTGGGTTTCAAAATCCAGGGGACAGGGGAGAGTCCACATTATGTTCTTTTGAGAAAGCCCCCAACCAGATGTTCTCACGGCTCCCTCCTCCCTTCATTTGGTCTTTGCTCAGATGCTACCTCTTTGGAGAGGAGGTCCCTACCACGTTAGCAGACACAGAACTCTGCCCTGTTCTCTCCTTACCCAGCTATCACTTTACTGGCTTGGGCTTTCCCATCTGACACATCTGTATGTGTTTATGCGCTTCATGTTTGCCTTACCTAGTAGAACACAAACTCCAGGAGGGTGGGTAGGGGCTTGATCTATTGTGTGTGCTGCTGAATCCACACGACAGGGACACAGAAATAGATGTAGAACGCTGAACAGAATTTTGTATGGATGTGAGGGAACCAAGCTGCTTAGAAAGTTCCCCTGGAGGTAGGTGGTGGAGCTGAAACTGGAACCCTCGTCTCCTGACCTGGGGTCCAGTCTTCTTTGTCCTCTTGCTTCCCCCATCCCTTTAATTGTAGTAAAATGCATATAGCTTAAAATTCACCACCCTAATCATTTTTAACTGTACAAATCCGTGACATTAAACACATTCATATCATCCCCACCATCCATCTCCAGGACATTTTAGTCTTTCCAGACTGAAACTGTGCACCCACTGAATAAACAACTCCCTGTCCCCTCCCCCAGCCCCTGGCACCCACTCTTCTACATTCTCTCCCTGTGCATTTGTCTCTGTGGGCACCTCATACTAGCGGAGTCATACAGTTTTTGCCATTTTGTGACTGGCTTGTTTCCCTCGGCACAATGTTTTTAAGGCTCATCCATGTTGTAGCATGTGTCTGAATGGCCTTTGTTTTCAAGGTTGGATATTATTAATCCCCTGTATGTATACACCACTTTTTGTTTATCATAGACACTTGGATTATTTGTCTCCTTTTGGCTATTGTGAATAATACCAATATGAACAAGTATGTACGGACACTTCTTTGAGTTCCTAGTTCCTACTTTCAATGCTTTTGTGTCCAATCTACCCCAAAGAGGAATTACTGGATCATATAGTAATTCTATATTTAATTTTTTTGAGGAACTTCCATACCATTTTCCATAGGGACTGTACCATTTTACATTTTCACCAACCGTGCATGAGGGTTCAAAGTCTATATCCTCACCAACACTTGTTTTCTTTCTTTCTTTCATTTTTTTTTTTGGTAATAAGCACCCTAAGGGTATAAAGGGGTATCTCATGATTAGTAATGTTGAGCACCCTTCATGTGCTTGTTGGCCATTTGTGTATCTTCTTTGGAGAAATGTCTTTTCAAGTCCTTTGTTCATTTAAAAAATTGGATTTCATTTTGTCAAGTTTTAGGAGTTCTTTATGTATTCTATTCACCTCTTATCAGATATATGATTTGTGAATATTTTCTCCCATTCAGTGAGTTGCACATTCTCTCTCTATTGATCAGTATCCTTTGATACACAGAAAGTTTTAATTTTAGTGAATTTCAATTTATCTATTTTTTCTTTTATTGCCTTTGCTTTCAGTGTCAGGAAATCATTGCCCAATTCAATATCGTGAAGTTTTCTTTCCCTGTTTTCTTCTAAGAATTTTATGGTTTTAGTTGTTACACTGATCCATTCTGAATTAATTTTTATTAATGGTGTTAGGTAAATGTTTATCTTCATTCTTCTGCATGTAGATATCCAGTTCTGCCAACACCATTTGTTGAAAAGATGGCCCTTTCCCCACTAAGTAGTCTTGACATGTCCTGCTGCTTCCTGAAGGATAAAGTTTTTGGCTCTCGTGTTGGGGATTTTAAAAGTTTCTTGGTTAGTTCTTCTGAAAGTGTTAGGGCAGTCTGGCCTGAGTGGGAAATAGCGTTTCTGGCCCACCTCTTCAGTGGCTGCCTCAGTCCTTCCAAGGCTCTGCTTGCTTCTTCTACCAGCTGGCGTCGGAGGCCTCCCGGTTCTATGCTTTAAAGGGTCTTTCATGGCAACTAAAACTTTGATGTAGAAGTAACACACACACAATTCAGTGACTAGAATCATATAATTGCACCCATCATAGGGAATCCAGGATAACATATGATACGCCATGTGTTCAGGTTGGTGGGAGGGGGAGAGGACATATTTGGTGACCAGCACTAATGACTACTACCCCTTTGTCATGGGAATGCCATGCTACATGGGGAAGTACTGATCAAATTACCCTTCACCCTGCTCTTTCTTTTGAGTTATTTTCATGGAGGGTTTTGCTCAAGAGGAATTACCACATCAATAATGTGAACAGGTTTGGAACTCTCGATATGTCTAATAAGCTGGGTTTCTGGAGATGGTGCCCTAATTTATGGGTTTTCCCAGAGCCCTGCTTTACACCTTGGTTTGACCTCTTGGTATCTGTATAGCCTCCTTAATCTTTGTGTAGCTAATTTTTCTCACTTGAAAATGATATAAGATTTGCTACCTCATAAGTCTGGAAAATCAACGAAACTCTCATAGGTCTAGAGAATCAATGTAAAGTCCTTAGCACAGGGCCTGGTATGTCCACTGCCTTGTCCTAGCTGCTGTGATGACTGTTTTTCAAGGTGCACTGTTCTTCAAGCTCAGGCTCATTTGTCTTTATTCAACTTGCAGTGTGATTATTCACTTTTCAAAGTGAGAATTAACTTTCTGCATCTCTTTATGCATAAAATGTTCATTCATCTACTTTTCCTTTTCTCAAACCACATACAATATATAATGCAGATATTGGCCTCATATATTTTAATTAATAAATAATTAAATTATTTGATCAAATAATTTGACCAAAAATCATAGCTTAGCCTGGCCTACCTTAAATGTTCTCAGAATACTTACATTAGCTTACATTTGGGCAAAATCATCTAACTCAAATAATCATTACTCATTTGATCAAATCATTAATTGTAATCTTTTCACTTTCAGGTAGTAAGCATTTGTCATATTTCTTTTACATATATTTTTCACATTTTGTTGCTTCTTTGGGTGTAAATTGTTATACATTTTTTGGTGTAATTTTTAGCCATATATGTAAAACACATTCTCATTGTCTCTGTTGAAATGTTTTCTGTCTTAGGTAACCAGGAACTTAGCAGAGATAATTATATTTTTATGTTTTTGACCTAAAAAGGTAGTTTTAATTACTGTACTCTCTCTCTCCATCAACTCTTCCCATGTTTCCAACTAGGTTTTGCCTTTGCAAGGTTTTTCCAATTCTAGGTCCTTCGTTGAGTTATAGTACTCAAAAAATTATGATTAGGTTAACAAAAATAGTAATGGGTAATATAAAAAAAACCAAATAGACTTACCCAAGTTAATTTCTCCATGTACTGTTGCAACTATGTTTTATAGATCTTACACCAACTTTCTAAAGTAGACTTCAATTCATAAATCATTTCCAAGAGAGGGAGCAGAAATTTTCTTTTTATGGAAACAGTGGTTTTTAGGAAACAATCTTTCCATGTGGATATGTTTCACTGGATCATGAACTAGGGAGCTCAACATGGTGGGTTGGGTTCAAGGAACACCAGAACTGAATGGTTTAAACCCTTTTGAAGAGGATGTGGGGTATTCTTAGTGGTGTTGGAAACCAGCTTATGGCAGGATTTAGATGAAAAATGTGGGACATGTCACTGTTTCTTTACAATAATTGGAATGTGATACTTTTTGTTCCCCAAGAATTCAAAAGGATCAGGGACAGAAGTACTGCAATGCAGATGCTCTTTGACTTATAATGGGGTTATGTCCTGATAAGCCCATCCTAATTTGAAAATATTGTTAAGACAGAAATACATTTCTTAAACCTAAACTACCAAAAATCATAGCTTAGCCTGGCCTACCTTAATGAAGAACACTTACATTAGCCTACATTTGGGCAAAATCATCTAACTCAAAGCCTATTTTATAATAAGGTGTTGACTATTTCATGTAATTTATTGAACACATACTGAACTGTGGTTTATATTCAATGTGCATTGCTTTTGTACCATTGTAAAGTCAAAAAGTTCTAAATTGAACCATTGTTAAGTTGGGAACCATCTGTACTAATCAAGAAAATGCAGGTATAGATTTTAATGGGGTTGAGGAAATTACTCTTAATTTCATTTAGTTTTACTTTTACTTTGCCTTGACATTTATTATCCTTTTTTTTTCCTTTTTAAATCAGAAATGCCTCTCACTGTGATGAAATGTCCATTGAGCTCAGGGTTTTTGAGAATACAGAAGCCTCCCTGCCGTTGATCTCATACCCGCAATTTTTAACCTTGTCAACTTCTGGACCATTAGTGTGCCCTGACCTGAGTGAATTCACCCGTAACAAAACTGAAGTGAAGATTCAATGGTACAAGGTACATCTTAAAAACTGCCATTTCATTAAGATATAATTTACTAGCCATAGGAAAGATACAAAATACCCATTTTCTGAAGTCAATACATTCACACCCACACACATACACACACCATTTGTATCTGTGGGTTTTGCATATGAGGATCCAACCAACCTTGGATTCAACCAACCTCAGATAAAAAATATTGAAAAACAAAGAAACAAAATAATAACACAAAATTAAAAATAATACAAATAAAGTAATACAATGTAATAACAATAGTTATGTACCACATCATGATGTTTCAGTCAACAATGGAATTTATATATGACAATGGTGTCATAAGATTATAATGAAGGTTAAAAATTCCTATTGCCTAGTGACCTGGCTGCTGGTAATGTAGCACAATGCATTACCTTTTCTATCTTTAGATATATGGATACTTACCATTGTGTTCCAATTGCCTGCAGTATTCAGTACAGTATAGGTTGGCAGCCCAGGAGCAATAGCCTGGACTATATAGCCTAGGTATGTAGTAGGCTGTACCACCTACGTTTGTGTAAGTGATGTTGTGATGTTGGCACAATGATGAAATCACCTAAGGATGAATTTCTCAGAATATATCTTTGCTGTTAAGTCATGAATGACTGTATTTAATAGCATTTACATTGTATTAGGTAATATAAGTAATCTAGAGATGATTCAAAGATTCTATGGGAAGATGAGCATGTAGGTTATATGCAAATACTATGCCATTTCATATCATTGACTTGAACACCTGTTCAACAGTTGGTACCTGTTGTGGGAACAGTTCTGGAACCAATCCCTCAAGGATATTGAGGGATGACTACATTTTAAACAATTTTAAAGGGCCATGATTAATATGTACTGTTAGTCCATATGTGATTTGGGTAAAAGTCCTTGAAATAGTGATTTGTGAAGACAGAATGTAAAATGAATCCAGACTAAAATATAGCTGAAGAAAATAGTTTTTTACTCTGTCATTTGTCTATATAAACACTGAAAAAAATGTTAGTTTATAGAACAATTTTATGCACATATTAAAGAAGTTTTTTTTTTTTCTTTAAAGCACATGACAGTTAACCTTGGGGTGAAAGGGATAAACGTAAACACACCCTTGTTTGGTTGAATAAATAGGACTGGATGTTATAGGCACTGTTAGTGAGAAATCAGATCTTAGGCTTAAGTAGACCAAGTGTTGGCTAACTGAGGCCTGGGCCAGACCAAGTTGCTTCCTGTCTTTGTACATGTACATGGCTTACAAGCTAAGGTTAGTTTCTGCTTATTTAAATATTTGAAAAAAAAATTACAAGCAGACTATTTCACAGTGTGAAACAAAATTCAAATTTCAGAGTCATTAAATAAAGTTTTCCTGGCACTCAGCCGTGCTCCTTTGTTCATGTGCTGTCTGTGGCTGCTTTTGCACTGCACAGCTGACAGAGGCCACGCAGCCTATAAGGCCTAAAGTGTTTCCTGTCTGGCCCTTTCTGGGAAAAGTTTGCCAACCCCAATATAGACCATAGATTGGTACTGAAAAGCACAATTATGGGTTTAATCACTGATAGCAATTAACTCTTTCATCAATAGCAGGCTGACCAGTTGACTGGTATTGTAACAAGCTATGTTTGATACCCATTTAACATTTGAAATTCCAAAATGATTTTCTGAAAATAGAGGAAAGCAGCCAGATCCTATGAACAAACTGGCCCAGGCACTCTTTTGGTTAAAGAGGATAAATGAAGGGTTTCATTGTAGGGGAAAGAGTGTAAGCTCTGGCATGAATGGGTCTGGGTTTGACACCTGTCCCTTCACTCACTGTTGTGCAGACTAGGCAGAGTGACTTCACCTCTCAAATCCGTTTCCTCTGTGAAATGGCAATTATGGTGATTCTCACTGCCTGGGACTGTTTTGAAAATTAAACAGAATAACACGTATGAAGCACCTACTTCAGTGCTTGGCATATAAATGGTGCTCAATAAATGTGGGTAGACAGGGATCATGGTGGAGTTCAAAAATATTTATCCCTTGATAATACTGCTAAGCATTACTGCATATAGGCTGTTTCTATTCTGAACTCCCCAACATGCAATCCCATGAGGTAGGGACTGTTCACATGCCTATTTGACAGAAAAGAAACAGAAAGGATGTTCCTGAGGTCACACAGCTGCCAGATCGTGAAGTGAAGACTCTAAGGCTGGAGGCCAGGCCCGTGCACCACTGGAACAACTGTGGTGCTGAGCCCTCATCTGCTTTTTCCTATTTGACTACTCATGCTCAGAACAATGAAATTGCTCCTTTGAATTAAATATATTATAAAGGAATGCTTATGAACCATGTGGCTCTATCAATTTTGTCTGTGTGCCTATTCAGAGTAAGACTCTGAAGTGAGTCAAGGTTATACTTGACTACATCGAGCTTTTGATTGTCACGAGCGTGAAAGCCGTCTTCCTGAGAACACTGTGTACTCGTTAGGATGCTTTGTGAAATCCCACTCAGTTCTTCCTTTTAATGGAAGGCTGTTGGCTGTATGCCGCAAAGAACCTATAAAACCTTGTGTTCATATAAAAAAGTGTAGATTCATTTCCTCCATTTAGTTTTCTCATAGAAATTTTTCTCTAGCTTACTGACTCATTAAATTGAAAGGATTTTTAAAAGAATCACCGTAGTGTCACCTTTCTGAACATTGTTGCCGAAGTTATCTTGGCTTTTAAATTGTGCTCTTCCCAGCTACGTCCTCAAGCCTCTGGGTATCAATCAGGCCATAAACATATTTGCATTTTAAATGGCCTATTTTGTCAAAGACAGTTACTCTCCTTTTTTCCAACTGAGTTTAAACAAATATGCTTTAAATATTGTGGTTAAACAAATGTAGCAACATCCTTTGTTTTACGTGTTTACAAATTCCTTCCCTAAAAATAAAAAAAAACAGAAGTATGCCCAAAGGACAAACTTGGCAAAATAAATTCTGGGCCAATTCTTGGGTTGCAAATCTAACATTGGTTAATCATGATGATGTGATAGATAGCTTCTGAGATACATAGCATTATATAATGTGGCCTTAAAAAAATCTTCCCTTAAGGATTCTGTCCTTTTGGATCAAGACAATAAGAAATTTAAAAGTGTGAGAGGGACCACTCGCTTACACGTGCATGATGTGTCTGTGGAGGATGCAGGCTATTACATCTGTACCATGATGTTTACCCACGAAAGCCGGCAATACAATATCACCAGGGTTGTTGAGCTGCGTGTCAAGGGTAAGTACTTGCTATCAAGGTGTCTTTCTATCCTAGTTCATAGCAAGCGTGCAAAGAACAAATTCCGGTCCACACACAATTCCTTGAATTCTTTTGAATGAAAGGCAAAGAAAAACAGATAAATCAACTTGCCTAAAGCTTTGGGAACTTATGACATTCCTGTGATACTTTGAAAGGTATATAAATCAAGGGATTGTTACTAGGAAACGTGAATGAATTGGGCAGGGGATAGAGTTCCAAGACTAAGGCTAAAACATACCACGAGAGAAGGCCAAACCGTGGTTTCCTTGGAAGTTCCCTTTCCTTGAAAGTCCACTGTGGAAGGACTGAACCTACAGGGCCACAACACATGGTTGCTGTAACTTTTAGTCTCATTCTAGCTTACTGGGACTTTGTTGGATTTTTCAACTAGCAGGCTACGCATTGGTGTATCCAGTGGAAAACATCCCTTTAAAAAATGTTTGTCATTCCTAGGGTGTGTCTAGTTACCTTTCATACCAGGGTTTCAAATAGAGTTCTCCTTGATTAAAATCAATTACCTGTGGAAGATAATGTGAATATGCTGGCCAGTATGTCACCTGAGTTCAGTGTTTACACCATCCCTCCCGCACGCGGGATGTGAGCTAGGCACAAGGGGCATGACAAGTGTGGAAGTCCTGGACTCTGTCCCAAAGAGTATGCCACAATTTGTTATTTTATATACTGAATACCCAACAGAATTGGAATCTTTCAAGGGGATTTCAGAGAGCTTTGGGAGCATATTAAGGGTACATAATGCGTCTAGGAGGGGAAAAGACTTTTCTGTCACAGAGAATCCAGAGATTCAGTTTTACTATGTTCTTCCATGAACGGTGTCTAGGTCTCACTTTTTTTACAATCCTGTGAAGATTCATTCATACCAACTCCTTGTTGCCGGACAGAGTGGTTGGCTGAGCCATGCCAGTGCTTTTAATGGACTCATTACTGTCCTGTTCATGCAACGCTGAGCAGGAACGCTAGGGGGCAGCCGCCCTGCATATCACCCTGTGCCCTGAGCCTGGTGTCTCTGTGGTTCTCCAGCCCCTGTGCTTTTTCTTGAAGAAGGGAATCTTCTTGTGGCAGGCACGTGGGAGAGGTGGAGAGCTATTTTGGGACAAGTAGTTCTATGGTATGGGCATAAACACGACTATTAAGATGATGTTCAGAAAGCCTGGGAGAGGAATGGTTAATTGTTTATTGCAGAGCAAAGAGCAAAGACCTCTGCCAGTGGAATGTGTATTTAGCTGCGGCCTCTTCCAGTAATCTCTCTGCTGGGAAAGGCATTGGCCAAAGATGCTCAATTTTGTGGAGAGCCTATTTCCTCTGCCAGCAAAGGCTGATTCTCACAATGACCAGCCACACTGGGAAGGATAACTTAGCTAATTAGGCAAACAATAGACTTGAACCTCAGTGGCAAATGAAGTCTTCCCTAATGCATCTCCTTTCCTTACATCTTTCCCAGAAAAAGAAGAGGAGACCGTTCCTGTGATTATTTCTCCTGTCAAGACCATATCAGCTTCAATGGGTAAGGCCTGCCAAGACCCTGCAACTCCCACACCTGTGGGTGCCTGGCATCCCAACACCAGAGGCTTGGGACCCTTGTGTCTGCCAACTGTGCCTGGCCCTTGGGGTGCAGTGTGTCTGGGTGGAGGCCTTAGATTAGAACCTTTGTGTGCCAGGCAGGACAAACAAATGCGAGGGAACATGTCCTTTTGTCTGATGTTGTTAGGAATGCATTGTTTGAAAACAGCTACCCTTTACTCCAGAAAAACCCAACCTACAAACATCTAAATGTGCAAATATGAACCTTTTGGCAGTAGTTATTTACTGGATGAGGGATTAACAAGAGCAAGAGTCTCTTACACAGCCAGCACTTCTAGTATATTTAAGATAATTCACTTACGATAATCTCAGTATCTCTCTAAGACTCCATTTGTGAAGTGAGGCTGGCAGTGGTCACAGATAGTATCTTGTTGCCAGAATAGCTGGTCAGCCAGCTGAGTGGTGTGATGCAAATGATCAGTGGGGTTTTCCACTTTCACTCCCTGTGGTGCAGTTTGCCCCAGCCAGCACACACTTGCTGGGTGCTCTACTCTTGTGGCCAGTGAGGGCGTGTGTAGGGGCTGTGCTAATAGCCTTCTATGCTAGCGGCGTGCGTGGGATTGACATTTACTGATTGTCTACTATGTCCAATTCAATTCCAATTCTGACCCTGTAGGAAAATTTTATTTCTCTCATTGTCCATAAGAAAAAGCTACTTAGGGGGTCATGGTGGCTCAGTGAAGAGCTACCTTCTGGGTCAGGCTGGGGTTCAGACTCTCGTCTGTGTGACTGCGAAGCCTGCCCCCTTCTGTGTGTTTCTGTATAATGGTTTTGAAGGTCTGATACATTTATGAAACCCTGGCTACAGGGTTTTAAACAAATTGTTTGCTTTTTACTTCTGTTTGGTGTTGGGTTCAAATTTTATTTAGAGGCCATAGGAGAGGTGGGCTTTTGTGCAGATGCTGGGACTGCTGACTGGCACATGAGTTGCCCCCATGTGGCTGCCTTGGCTCTAGGAGCAACCACCTGGGAATCCCAGAGAGTGGGGACATTGGCTATGCTGGTGCAGACTGGAGTCCCAGTGCCCTGGACCTTGGTGCTTCCCAGCTGAGTGGAGCTTCCCAGTCAGTAGCTCTGAAAGCTCTATGTGGGTGCTGGCGTCACATGATGCTGATTTAATGGGCTATATAGCTGAGGGTAACTCTTTGAGGTTGTAGGGGTGGCATAGATTGAGGAAGAGCTGGCATTCTAAGCCCAGTGGGGCCAGGGACATTTAAAAACACATCACAGGGAGGTGTATCACCCATTAGGAAGAAATGAACTGGAAGGATTGCTTCTATTTTTCCCTCTCCTCCTCTTTGTTGAGTTAAAAAGAAAAGTAACTTCCCCTGATTGAGGCAAGGGGACCCAGTACCATCACATCATAACTGCAGAGCGTGCCATCCATAGAAAGTACAAGCGATTCTTAAAGGGTTAATCTCCAATGGCAGCCACCTGGGAACGAGGAGTTCCCAGGATAAATTCTCAGAGCTGAGATCAGCAATCAGCAAAGAGAAAGATTCTGCATATTGATCTGGATTTTGTGAGGCAACTAGATTAAGTTGGGGAGGAAGGCAACCCTTGGATTCAGAAGCCATCTAACTGCATGCGCTCCTGGGTTTTGCCTGTCACTGAAGACCAGTTAGTTGAAGGAACTGGAGGTACCCGGTCAATGTTAAAGCTCTCTGTGAACGGATCATTGGAGAAAACAACACTTCCTTCTAAGAAAAGAAATGGGCAGTGAGGGGTGTTTGGGAAGATAGGGAGGGCTCCATGGTTGGGGTTTGCTGATGGGTGTGAGATGCTGGGTTCTCGTTGACGTTCTGGGTCTTGGTGTATACAGGGTCAAGACTGACAATCCCGTGTAAGGTGTTTCTGGGAGCCGGCACACCCTGGACCACTTCGCTGTGGTGGACGGCCAACAACAGCCACATAGAAAGTGCCTACCCGGAAGGCCGCGTGACCGAGGGGATGCGACAGTAAGTGGGCCAGGGTTTTCTGTTGTGAGACCGCCACGGGCTTCACTCTTCTTTTTGAAGACGGTGTTATATCCAACTTAGCAAGGTGACACACACAATCACAGTGCAAGTAACTTTTCTTTTTCATTTTAAGCTGTTATGGTTTTAGAATATTAAAAATTGAGTTTTGCTAAAAATTATCTGCAGAATCAAATTTTCTCTATACTTATATGATCTGAGTTGCAGTTGACAAGTGGATACTCTGTTGCATTTTGTAGGCATTTAAACATTTATTTCCTGGTTTTTGCAGAATTAAAAAAAAGATATTTTGGAGTTAATACATTTTCATTCTCCACTCTGCAACCTACCAAACATTTTTTTATAAACCCATAAAAAGACTCTGAGACCCAGCTCCAGTATCTATAGCACTTCTGCTGTTTCTCAAGGCTGCCACAATCTCTAAGGAAGTCTAATAACAAGAGAGAGAACTCAGTTCTCATAACAGTCATCTCTAGAAAATGTTTTCTTACTCTGAAACTAGAAAAATCAGACCTCATAAATGGGAACCATTCAACATTTCAAATTATGAAGTATTTTTTAAATTACAGTTTTGATACTTTGAATTAGCTTGAACTTTTGCTTGCCAAATTTTTGTGTTTTTTTAGGGAAAGACTTGTCCCCAAAGGTCTTTCTGGATGTAATTTAGTGGATAAAAATTATGTGTGGTTAGCATAACCGTGTGCTTGCAAGTCCTTGTTGTGAAAGACTTGGCCATAACTGAATGCCCTGTGTCAGCTCACTCACCCTATCCATTTCCTTAAAGGAGCTTATTTTTCCCCTGTAAACAAAACAAAAATAGTCCTAGTGAATCCACTCGGTGATGTTTTTATTCCTACTAATAGGTAGTAGTGAAGAGTCTTGGGCTCCCTCTGAGCTTATAAATGGTAGGTATCCTGACTAGAGCGGTTCCCCGGCAGCCCTCTGATCTGGACTTGAGTTTCCAGAGTGAATCAGCAATAGGAATGACGAGAAGAGGTACCTCTGGGGGCTGCAGTCCTGGAAACTCCCTGACCGTCAGTGTGTGAATGATATATTGGTGAAAAGAGTCAAGTTTCCCCAAATCAAATGTTTTCTGTCCCCGCCACTGGTTCTTTGTTCATCAAGGGTCTCAGAAAACAAATCTTTCCATTGTTCAAACCAGAGTGGCTTCTGTAAGTTCTCACTGTAACAAGTGTCCTGTTACAGTGTCCAACATCTTCAGCAATGTTCAGGCCTTGGGAAGAGACCTACAAACTCTCAAATACGAAACAAGTACGGTGGCAAGCACTTCTAACTTTATGAACTTAAAATCAGTTTAAGCACCATGGATGCTTCTAATGGGGAAGGTTGGGATGTCTGTGTCGTGAAAGACAAGCTTGCATTCGATGTATCACATTGATGCGAATGTTTTCTGATTCAGGGAATATTCTGAAAACAGTAAGAACTACATTGAAGTGCCACTGATTCTTGATCCAGTCATAAGAGAGGACTTGATCACAGATTTTAAATGTGTTGTCCTTAATACCCTGAGTTTTCAGACGCTACACACCACAGTCAAAGAAGGTATGTATTGGGGGGAATATTAAACGAGACAAAAATATGTTGAATGTTCTACAGACACTGGACGAAGCTCCTTGTGCTCCAAATGATTCCTTAGGAAGTTCTTTGTGTTGCCTGTTGGAACACAAAGAGCAGACCTCCCTTCTTAAAGACTCGTGTTTGGTAGTGTGGAGAGTAGGATTTTGGAAAGTATACTCAAATGAAAAATTTAAGTAGCAAGCTGATTTTTGGAAAACAGATAAAATGGTTCTGCAATAAGTTTTGTATACCCTGTGTCCTCGTGGGGTTCAGCCTTGGGTCACCAGGGTCAGCTGTCCTCACACGGCCTCTAGAGGAGGGTGGATTGTTCTTTATCAGAAGTTAAGGAACTTTACTGTCCAAGAGCCGGGGTCTGGGAGATATCCAGGGTCGGGGTAGCTTTAGGGTCAAAGTCATTAGGCAACAGGAGTAAGAGCAAGGCAATAGTGTCCATTTAAGGACATTTATAAAAGAAGAAAAGAAATGCCCATATTGCCATTTTTGGCAAAATTGATTTCAAGTCCATGTTTAAATTGCTGGGCAGGAAAGGGAGGCACAGTTCATGTAGTCTCTTGTTGACAACCTGAGAAAATATTGCAGGGAAGCCATGGTGACTCCCAGCTGGTCTCAGTGATGCCTCTGACAGTCTTGCAGCAATCACATAAACCCAAATTTCTCCACGCTATCATGTTTTCTGGGGCGGCTTCCGCAGATATACTATAAATTGGAAAGCTGCTGACTTGGGGCAGGGACTGACACCCCACACCACTTTTCTCCAGCTGTGCTCTGAGCGACCCCAGCATCTAACCCATCTGAGCCACCAGTTAAAAATATAGATCCCTGGACTCACCCCAGATCCACACAGTCACATTCTCCTGGAGAGGCCAAAGCCTGCAGCTCAACAAGCTCCTTTCCTTTGAAGTTTGGGAACCGGGGCATATATGTAAGGAGTGGCGTTTCAGATCATTTCCAGACGTGCAAGCTGGGAGAGGGACTGTGCCCATACACATTTGGAAATAGGGGATCCCACACAAAGCAGAATCCTTACCTCTGGGAGTCAGGTTACTGGGCCAAAGGAACCTGTGGTTTATCTGGTCCTGACACAGCAGAGCTTTAACATTTTCCAGAGCATGAGCCTTGTCCCTTGCGTGTCCTACATTAGGCTGGCCATGACCAACCCCAGGCTGAAAGCCTTTTGTAGGACTCAGAGGCATATTCCAGTGGCTGCTTAGAAACTACAGTTTCATTTATTTCCGATCCTTGTGGATTTTAAGATGTATGAATCTTCTGGAGAAACAGGCTGAGATTGTGTCGATTGCTGGATGTCTAAACAGACTATCAAAAATAATAGCTTAGAAACGTAGGCTTCTGGCCTCATCAATGTGTCTAATAACACTCCGCTCTCACATTCAACTTTTAACTTTTTATTCGTGGCCTTCTCCTCTATTTCCATAACACAGGGATACCAAGGGACAGAATATAAAATAGCTACAGCCAAGCAATCATCTTGGCACCTGAAGCTCCTTTATTCAAAGTTTGTTTTCTTTCCTTTGCTACTCTATTTAATTCTCATGACAGCCATGCTGATTGGAAAAGGGCAGCTTGTTCCCTGGCCATGTCACAGTTGGTTAATTCAGATGTAAACAGGCGGCATCTTAAAAGCACGCTCTCCTGCTGGTGGAACAAAGTGAGATTCTTGGCACCTCACCCTTACCCTGTGATGTTTCATTCTAATAGTTTTGTCTCGCCGTGCTTGTTTCTCTAATGCCACAGGCGTCATTCTCAAATATCCTTGATCTTGGGACGTACTTTCTGGAAATCAATGCATGTTTATCAAGAAAAACAAACTCTGAGTCCTTTCTTCTCTGTACACCTGCCCTGAACACGCTGTCCTGTTGTGCACTGAGAGAATGTTCAACCCCGATGTTACTCTGTTCTCTCCACAGCCCCCTCTACGTTTTCCTGGGGGATGGTGCTGGCTCCCCTTTCGCTGGTCATCTTGGTGTTGGGGGGAATTTGGATACACAAACGGTACAAACTCAGAAGTGGGAAAGCCTACGGTCTAACCACGCTGAAGACTTGCCATCAGGACTTCCCATCCTATCCCAAGTAAAATAAACAGAATGCACTAATTCAAACCCAACCTATGTGTGTCCTTTCTTAAGGGGTTGCTGGGCCTTTCTGACAAACTCTATTCCTTTCCTCAGTTTTCAAACAAAGCTGCTATGTTTATGTGGGTTGTAGTAAAGGATTAAAGGTCTGCTTTTTACCTGAAAATTGGTAACAGGAGAGAATGTGCCCAGGAAGGTGTGTGCGTAGTTCTTTGCTACCTGTGACCTATTTCAGGGAATGAGGTTCCTGTAGGCCTGAATGAGAGTGGAAAACATGTAAGTTTTGAAATTCATTCATTCATTTATCAAAAGTGTATCAAAAGTCTATTCTGGCCAGACTTTATGGGAGGTGATGTAGGTACAGAGATGGTTAAGACATGGTTTGCCTTTTAGGAAAATGGAATTTCATTTTCAGACTGACAGGATTATTTAGACATGGTAACGGAGAAGAATCGGCAAGGATTGGTGGACTTTTGGGGGCGGGAAATTCAAAAAATAACGATTAAACTAGTGTGGGCTGTCAGGAAAAGAAACGTATTCGTGAACTCAGAAATAGACCCAACTTGGTAATAACACTTCTGATAATAAAGAGAAGGAAGGGGATGGAGACAATTGCATACGAACCGGAAAACTAGAACCGGAGCCTTTTTTGAATCACACACCAAAAAAATTCCCGATAGGTAAGTGGGTTCAATGAGAAAATAATCAGGTGGCAGGAAAATCATCATGTCTCAGGCCTTCCCTCATGCAGGTCTCTGTTCCAACACGGTATTCCCAGAAGCCTGTCTCCAACAGCACCCCCTTCCATTCCTTCTGTGCCCTCACCATTTTTGTCTCACCACCCCTTATCACCACTTGATCCTCCATTTTATATTTTCTTTTCTTTTTCCTTTTTTTTTTTTTTTGAGACAGTGTTTTACTATGTCGCCCTCTGTAGAGTGCTGTGGTGTCACAGCTCACAGCAACCTCAAACTCTTGGGCTCAAGCAATCTCTTGCCTCAGATTCCCGAGTAGCTGGGACTACAGGTACCTGCCACAACACCTGGCTATTTTTTGGTTGCAGTTGTCATTGTTGTTTAGCAGGCCTGGGCCGGGCTCTAACCTGCCCCCTTTGGCGTAGGTGGCTGGCTCCCTACTCCCTAAGCCATGGGCGCCGAGCCCATTTTAAATTTTCTTGTTTATTTTCTACCTGTGTTCTTATCTGAATAGAAGATCCATGAGGATGGCTCAGTGTCTGTAGCTCGGTGGCTAGGGCGCCAGCCACATATACCAGAGGTGGTGGGTTTGAATCTAGCCTGGGCCTGCCAAACAACAATGACAACTGCAACCAAAAAAATAGCCAGGTATTGTGGTGGGCACCTGTAGTCCCAGCTACTTGGGAGGTTGAAGGAAGAGAATCACTTAAACCCAAGAGTTTGAGGTTGCTGTGAGCTGTGATGCCATGGCACTCTACCCAGCGTGACACTCTGTCTCAAAAAAAAAAAAAAAATTAGATCCATGATGGCAGAGAGAGTATTTTGGTCCCTGTTGTATCCCCCATACCTCAGATCAGGCATCTAATAGATATTTATAGAATAGATGTAAATAGGATGAACTCATCCTTGTTTATTACCAAAAGAAGAACTGGAAGAGTAAAGGTGGACAGTTTTAATTATGTTATAATTTCTGTACAATAAGATAATAAAAGCAAGATTTATTTATTTATTTATATGGGGGGGTCTTGTTTATTGAAACTGAAATTTTAAAAGTGTAAATTTGTATTTATTGATTTTATTAAGTCATAAACACATAGATCATGTATACATTAATGCATTTACGGGGTACAGACCACACCTATAAACGCAAGATTGGAAGGGAATTGTGTCAAGCAAGTTCAAGGAATTAATAGCTATAACAGAGTTATTCAAGGTTTAAGAATGGCATCTGCTATCACCTCGTATCATAATTAGACACATAAAATAATTTAGTTAAACTTATGTGTCAATTGCCAATTATATACACTGATCAAGTTTGTCAGACTTGTATATTTGCAATGTTAAGGGAAAATTATATATTTTTGTACAATTGTTTGTGGTTATAATAGTATTTAAATCTGCTTGCATCTAGGCAAGGAGAAAAGTTAAAAATAAAAACTCTGAAGACAGATTTTTGGGGTTCAAGTTCAAGCACTTCCATGCAATGCCTCCATGATCTTGTGCAAGTCCTTTAATCTCATAGTATATCCATTTTCTCATCTGAAAATTGGGGATAATAACAGTAACCTTTAACTATTTTCTGTAGTTTATATTGCATATTTTTTTATTTCAGCTCCAATAACTATTTAGCAATCAAAACCATAGCAGGAATAAACAGAAATAAAAATGATTGTGTTTAGGCTAAATGTCGACACACTCAGCCGATGAAGTCAGTCCAGTCTGTGCTCTGTCTCACTTTGAGCAGACAAAGTTTGTTACTATACAGCTGCAGCTGTTTGTTTTTGGATTGTCCTTGGCTGCTTTTGCTCTTTGAAGAAAGAATTGAGAGGTTGAGGCAGTGAAGCCTAAAATATTAACTATTTGGTCCTTTATACAAAAGGTTTGCTGACCCCTGGCTTACACCAAGGAGGTTGGGGCAGTTTCTGAAGCTCACTTTTATATTTTCCTATTATCATCTCTTCTGCTCTTCCTTTCCTATAATCTAAGCTTCCAAGGAGGGAAAAGAGCTAAAAGGCCAGGCAGAGGCCTTTGAGCTCCTAGTTGAGATTTTACCCTTGGAAGGAGAGGAAAGGAGCTTTGAGGTGGACGGATTAGGCGAGGAGGCTGCACACCGCGGCTTTGGGCGCTTTTGCCTTTTCCAGGTCTTCAGGCCTGGAAGCCGTGTGTCTATCTTCTTGGGGCTTCTCCAGTCTCTGAGTTTCCTACCTTCAGATTCTGGCAGCTTCAGCAATGACCCAGGAAAAAAAGCTGAGTGCAGCCAGAAGGGAACTATCTGCCAATGGCTTTTTAGACTTCACCTTGTGGGTCATGCCGTTAGGAAAAGTATTAGACAATGACCGGGGAATTCTGAATGATGGTTTTCTGTTCACATTAAGGAATAAGCATGATATTGGGATTGGCGCATTTTTTTAAAGAGTCATTTATCTTTCTAAGAGACACACGAAATGATTTGGGGGTGAGATCTGAGATTTGCTTCAAAATTATCCAGTGCTAGGTGGGAGAAAAGATGAAATGAGATCAGCCATATGCTGAGCGTTGCTGAGGCTGCTGATGGCTGAACTGGGTTTCCTTACGCTACTCTCTCTGCTTTTGTGTATGATGGAAAATTTCTGCAATAAAGAGTGAGATACGTGAGTCGTGTATAAAATAATTACTCGCTAGAAGAGGGAATGGGTACATAAACTGTGGTAAAATAGCACCAGGGATCTTATATGTGTTAAAAGGAACTACTACAATAAATAAATAACATGCAACAATATGGATAATCTTAGAAATACATTACTGAGTAAATAAGTGCCAGGAACATTTTATAGCATGATGCCCTTATATATAAAGTAAGAAACAACTGAAACCAAACATGTTCTCTCTCTTTCGTGTGAACATTTATGCACACACACATCTATGGTTAAAATAAATGAGTTAGGAAGACAGAAGTTTTATTCAGTTTTAGATGTCATGTTGGGTGGAGGATTATTACTAATTTGTTAGCCAACAAATGGGTTAAAAAACAGGCTATTCAAGGACCATGAAGAATATGTGTCTTGAACCCAAAAGGATTGTGACTAACGTAATTTCGTGCACTTGAATCCAAATTACACATGTAGACAAACCAACCAATGAAACAAGTTTTCCTCTTTTCTTAATTTGGTTGATCTTATCTATCTCATGTTGATTTTACTGTTTTAATGTTTTGAAGTTGAATCTTTTTTCCCCAACCCTACAAAATTTGGGGAACATAAACAGTCTTTGGAAACCTCACATTTCTATGCCCTGCCCATGGGAAAAACACAAGCCTTACATTAAAAAAATGCCACTTCCCCAAGAACTTACTGAGGATAACAGCAGACAGCAATAACAGGCACTGAAAATAATTTACACACTAAAAAATAAATCTGATGGACATTACAAGCATTTTGAATGCGTACGGGAACAGTGAGGGGGTCTTCTAAAGCTAGGGAGGGGGACTGCACACGTACAGTCAGCTGTTCAGGGCAGGGGCATCCTGCCAGCTGGTACATCCTGCACCTAGCAGAGCCCACGCAGTAATTAGGTGACTGCTGGATGAGTCAAGTGTGTGTGTTTTGGTTTTCCCAGCTTGTTGTGAACAAGTGGGTACCATCAGCAGGACTCAGCTGTTTCCCTGCTCCTGCCTCCATTCTCAAACTCTCCTCGGTTTTGGCCATCACCTGCCAGTAGCTCACTTGGACACACAAACGTGCCTCATGCTTTTGTGGTTGTTTTCCTGTTCTTCTGGTCTTCACCCGTTGGCTTCTGTGGTTCACACCACCCTTCAGGGCTACTCATTCCTGCCACTGGGCTCTAGGAAAGCACTACTGCTCCACAGAGGGCACTGCCCAGGGCCATCCAGTGGACAAGCCATCCAGCTGCCAGCCTGGGCTGCAACCTCTGGTAGTTTCAGTGCTGGGAGCCTCCATGCAGTGCACTCCCCAGAAGCTCCCCCCAAAGTAGGGCTGGAAGGCATAACCCCTCTCCTCCAGGGCTCAGGCACTAGTGTGTCATCTCCTTCTCTGTCACAAATGCAAAACCCACTTCCTCATTCTTCTTCAGACATAGCAGAGCAAAACAAAACCTCCTGCAGAGAAATTCCAAGAAAGCTGCCCACTGGTTCTTTAGAACTGGCCCAGCTTGCAGTTACCAGGCCCCCCTGGGGAGGGAGCTATTCAGCCCGCTGGGGGTGGGGGTGGCTACGGTGTGAAATCTTTAGATGAAGGTAGGGAGAGCCTACATTTAAGTGCCTGCAATGTGCAAAGTTTTACAGGTTTTGCTCAAGTGAATCCGCAAAAAATTTTTCTCAGGCAAGTACTGCAACTCACGTTTTAGAGAGACACCGAGGCTCCCTAGTTTAAGTATTACATCCAAGGAGTGTGGCTTAGACGTGCAGTAACATTGAGCTTCCTGATATCAAACCCCAGGACTTGACACAGCTGGAGAACAGCTGGCTCCAAGTGGGGGCTGGTTTGTGTCAAGGTTAAAGCCAGGAGCAGAGCAAATATTTGCTTTCCTGGAGGCAGCTTGGCTTCCATGAAGAGGGAAGAAGAGCTGAGCTGCGTGTGTCCAGTTCCTCCCCCACGCCCACCAGAACACACCCCTGGATTCTGTGAAGGGGCCACAGCGACTCTAATAAGGGCCCCTCCAAAAGGAAAGAGGAATCGGAAATGGGACCTTAGCGTCTCTGTCCTGTACAGTATTTCCCAGTTTTTATTCTTTTAGCCTGTACAACATCCCAACCAGTCTATGGCTAGTTGGGGCGCTGCTGTGCAGGGGATGGAGGTGAGGAGCCTGTCATGGGATCCTGGTGGATCAGGTGAGCTCTCTGGACCTTTCTCGGCCCACTGGGGGTGGTGGGTGGGCAATGTGGATCTGGTCCTCAGAAAGCTCAGAGGTGATGAGGAACAATCTGTGAATCAAATTTGTTTCAAAACCATTCTGTGTCCAAGGCTGACAACTCCCTTGTTGTATTTTATTATTTCCCAATAGAAATGTTGCTGGATAAGGATGTCTGGCTGTCACTGTTAGCTGATATGCAGAGACGGGGATAGGTCCACTGAACTTTATTTGTCAGAAGGCCAAGATTCTGGAGAAAGGTAAGAGTAACCTCTCCAGGACTATTCTGTTCTTCCATTTCCAACATTACAGTTTTATACATTTAAGTTCAAAGTGAAGACCATGTTAACCCTTATCTTAAACGATAATCGGCAGAACCCATGACTCATAAACAATATTCTAATTTAAAAGTTAATCTTCTAAATCAATCTACCTAAACTACTCAAGGTAGGTATCATTGGGGTGGGAGCTAAATTTATAAAACAGTGAGAATAAGAGACAGGGGGTGAAGGTCAGGCAGGACCTGAACTGACCAGACCAGCTGTGTCCCTTCTGGCCTAGCCTGACAGACTCCATCTTAATCTCACTGTATGTGTTTTCAATAAGACGCAGGTTTAATTATTCAAGTGTGGTGAGGCCAATAGATGAGGAGACAACAGCCATTGAAAAGATGCAATTATACCCACAGATGCCAACAGGAGAGGGCACCCCACACTCCAGGAGTCAGGGGGCACTTGAGGAAGCTCCAGGTAGGTCAGAGGTAGGGGTCATGAAAGCAAGATGTAGGCCAGAGACTTTGTGGTGGTTTCTGTGAGAGGAGGGAGAGGCAGGGTAGGCAGGTTTAGGATCTGCTAGTTTGAATAATTTCCGTGGGCTCGGGGGTGTAGGGACAGGTGATGGTTGATGGTGACCTGCCCCTCACCCGAGGTGGTAGAGGGTGTGAGTACAGGTGGTTGGGTCGTGGGCTCTGGATGGGGTGGTTTGCATTTGGAAAGTAAGGTGTGGGCAAGTCCATTACTATCTCTAGGAATTGGCCAAACCTGGGAGGGACAGCCCCTCCAGCTGTCAGAACATCAGAAACACGTGGCTAATACAGGCCCATCCAGCCCCGTCTGCCATAGCTCATCAGAAGTTCTGCACAAAGTTAAATGGCCAAAAGTAAAGAGCCAACAAAATAAATATGCTCCCAGTTTTATTTAATTTTTTGTTGCAAGAATACCCAATATCCTTTATGAAGCACAGTAAAGCAACCATCATACAATTTTGTAAGCATTAGCAGTAAAATGTTAGTGTCTCATAGAAATATAGCCACATATACGTAGCCTCAGTAATATCCAAAAAGGAGGCATACCAAACCTCAACAATTCTGGAATTACAGGCTGAGTTTCTCCCTCCAGTTCCTTCTTGCTCAGCCCCAGTAGGGAGGGTGCTCTGTCCAGAGAGATGACTACTGTGAGGGCTGTTTCCCACCTTCTGCAGAGAAGGGTGTGGCTTCCTGGGCACTGGACATTGACCTGCCCCCTTTTAAAGCATCCTGGGTGTTAGATAAGGTTAGCACAGACCCGACTACCAGCATTGAAAGTTAAAGCAAGCCATTTCCTGGTCCCTGGAACAGATTTCCCAGGCAAATGTTGCTTCTAGAAGCTGCAGTGAGTGTTAACAGTGGCCATAGCAAAGCCCTGGGGGTATCAGAGGGGACAAGGGGAGATGGTGGTGATGGAGCTGCTGGCTTCTGCGTGTGGCCATCAGTCCTGCAGCACTGGTGTCATCAGCTGATTAGAGGCCCAGGGTGGCCCAATATCCGAGGTCCCATGTGATTCTCACCACTATTCCCTGTGGTTAGTCAAGAATCTGTGGCCTGAGGATGTAAACTCTCTTTGGCCAACTATTCCAGGAGGAGTTAGTGACAGCAGGACCTTAATCACACCTGGTCACCTTGTCCCAGCATTTGGGTCCCTGTGCTTTCTTGAATAGAGTGTAAATCTTCTGGGGCAGCTACCTGATCTGCAGGCTCTGTTGGGAAGCCTTTCTTCCTGTTCTGGAATATTCTGAACTTACCACGCTTTCTATCCCGAGCCCACGATTCAGCCTCTGTCTGGTGACAGCTTCTTTGTGAGCAGTGCACAGGAACCATGGGCTCCTGCTATGCAACTTTCTAGGCCTCTGAACGTTTTGCAAGGGAAAAGCTCTTCCCTTGCCCCACTTCCCTTGCCCCAGTTGCAAAATCACCCTCAGTAGGTGACCATACTGCTTGCGCCTCTGGGTCCCAGTGAGGACGGCTCTGGGACCATGAGCTCTGTAGTATATGCTATTTCCTAGGCTTTTGGATGTTCCAGACACTGTGCAGGGTCCTCCCACCTAAAGTGAGGGGATATATCTTGCGTGAATGTGTAACAGTGGAACAGGCTGGTCTCAGCTGCCATGGCAGCCTGCCATCTCATAGGGCAGTGGTTCTCAACCTTCCTAATGCCATGGCCCTTTAATACAGTTCCTATAGGTCACGACCTATAGGTTGAAAATTGCTGTCTAGGGAGCTGGGCCGCTGGGGTCTCCACCAGGGGTCTGCGGGGCACCCTACTGAGTGGTGTGAGCTGAGCCCCTGGCCTGGTCTCTTTTGTTTTTGGCACCTGTGGGCTGGTACTCAGAGCCCTTTGCCTTCTGTACCAGAGCTTCATTCTTTTGTTCCTTCTTCTGTTCATTCTTTCATTTGCTCATCCTAGCACACTCCTCTAGATTTTCAGGTCATGTGGGTTTTCCATGTGGGATCTGTAAAATCAGTGGGCTGCCAGCAGATCCCTGCCCACCCTCTCGCTCCCTGGAATGCATAATCCCACTCTATGTGACTGGTCCCACAGCTCACCGGGGTGGACACTGTGCGTTGTCCTGATGGCTCTCCCGTTTTGTGCCTCCTCTCTGCTATGCCTTCCTTTATTATTGCCCCACTTACATACAGTTTCCAGCCCTTCAATAAATGACTCCTGCAGCCCCACTTAATCAGAACTGCATCACATTGAAACTCACCCAGCAGTTCTTGGCACTCTAAGAACACGGTAAGGTTCTTAGTTTGCCAAAAAGCCACATCAATTTCAGATGCACCCCCCTCCACATGTGGCTGTCCTTGGTCTGAGAGGAAATAGAATCTGGGGTAGGTGCCCTGGCTCTGTTGATTCAGGCTCTGGACAGACAGTACAGAAATAGAACTTAGAACTTCTGGTGCCCTGGGAAGTGCAGGAACTCAGTGGCCTTGTGCTTTGACTGCAGCATTATTGTGTTAAAAAGTCTTAATCCTGTTTTATCCAGCTTTGCCTGGAACTATTCCATGCCCACCCATGGCTAACGAAGTTCAAGGTCAGGCTGGATCAGTCTGTTTTCAAAAGCTCATGTCTTTGCCTTTGTCATCCCTTGGCCTGGCTCCCTGTTTAAGCTCTATACTACTTCAAAGAGTCTTGAGCTAAACCATATGCTTATCAACAGACAAACCAACCATGAGCTGTGGGTGCTGCTGAAGGAAGGTTCCATGGGGGAGACCATGATAGAGACTGCAAGCTGCCTACAACTGGTGTGTAATGGCCCTGTGTAGGCTGCCACAAGCCACCAAGGAAAGGGTCACCAGAGCCACCTTGGCTTGAAGCCACGCCATAGGCCACATCAGATGTTTGCATACTCCAGGTATATTTGCCCCACAGATTCCACTCCTTACCACTCCCATCTTCCCCAGCTGAGTTCTGAACAATTCAGAGAAAGGGCAAGAGTAGGCAGAAATGTAACCAGAGTGTGTAGCTGGAGTGTTACCTGTATTCCTGCAGTTGGACGTTGGAGGATGTGTCATGGGCGTGCGGAAGACAGTTTCCTGGCTGTGAATGCCAGAGTCAGGCAGGCTCCCACATCCAGGTCTGGGCAATGTGGGGCTGTATAGGCTTCTCTATGTGGGCACTGGCCCTGGAGAATTCGGGGAAGCCTGCGGCTGCTTGCTTCCTGTTCATGACCTGGCCCCTAAGAGAAAGAACAGGAGCCCGGGACCAACCCCTGCAAACTCAGCTCCTTTGTGAAACTCAAGGTAAGGTCCTGATGCCTCCTCCCTTGAGAGTGAGGGTTTGGAGTGTCCTCATGAAGGAGGAGCAAGAACCAAGTGTTACCTCCCACAAAACAAACAATTCTGGTAATTTCTATCAATTGTACTACAACTTGTATTGTTACTGTTGTGTTCAGTTCTTTAGGGGGTAGTTGGGCTGTGGTCATAGTTGAGTACCACTGGGCTACCTCCATGGGCGCCAGGCCCCAGAGGGCAGGTCCAGAGTCTTTTTTTTTCTTTCTGAGACAGTCTCACTCTGTCATCCTGGGGAGAGTGCTGTGGCATCACAGCTCACAGCAACCTCAGAGCTCAAGCAAATCCTCTTATCTCAGACTCCCAAGTAGCTGAGACTACAGATAACCTGTCACAATGCCTGGCTACTTTTTTCCTGTTTTTACTAGAGATGGGGTCTTGCTCTTGCTCAGGGTGATTTTGAACTCCTGAGCTCAGCTGATTCACCCACCTTGGCTTCCCAGTTCCTAGGGTTACAGGTGTGAACCACTGCACCTGGCCTAGGTCCAGGGTCTTGTGAAGGCTGCTGCCTAAATCTTCATTTTCTCTGTGATGTGGCCTCATCCTATGATTGCCACAGGATATTTATACTATAATACAGTAGTCTTGTAGTTGTTCAAAAGATGTTCAGAAAAGAGGAGGTCCTTACAGCCTAGTACACAGTAGGTATTCAGCTAATGCTGGCTGCACGCATGCTTGCATGTGTAAATGGACTAAAGGGTAGGGGTGAGAGGAGGAGCTTGCCCACTCACCACTGGCCTTCCTGCAACTTGTTTCTCCTGTGCTATTTCCTCCTCTTCAAACACTATTCCCAATTTAGGGCTCTGTTTGAAGGCTTCCTCTGCTAAAATGCCTTTCCCAAGCACTGGAATAATCTCTCCCAGTCCTGAATTCTCCAAGTAGTTCATCTGGGCCTTTATTATACCATCTAGTGCTTTCTATTTTCTATGAGGTTAATCACATTTTCCTCTTTTCTATCCTACCAGACTATGAGGAACTTGAGGGCAGGTTCAAGGTCTAACTGATCTTTGTCTCTTCAAAGCATCCAGTAAGATATCATGGAGCAGAAAGTGAAGGCTCTGAGGTAGAAAGCTCATAGCTGTGAATGGGCTCTGAATGGGTGCCATGGAACTGTAGAAAGGTTACGAACTTCTGCCCCTCACTTACTTCCCATCAAAGGGAAGTTGCCAGGACCACAGCACCACTCCCCCACCCCCTTCCCTACTCCCAGGATGAAAGGGACCAGCTGAACTAATCAGATTCTTGCCTGGGAGTTTGAACACTCTATAGGGAGTTAATCCCTGAGGGGGGGAGGGAGGGTGCCAGAGTGGAAAAATCCAGAAACCAAAGAATGAAGTGTAAGATAGGGGCATTTCTCAGGGCTGCACCCAAATGCAGCTCTCATATGTGCCAGTCTGATTGTTTGATGAGGCTGCAGTTTCAGCTTGAGTTTATATTTAGTCCAGCTCCACAATTTCCTTAGCCCAGTACATGACAGTGTCCTCACAGGTCCCCTGTCTCCAGCCTCCCACAAGCAGCCAAGTGCTGTTTCTCAAGCCCAACCTGACTGTGTGACATTTTATTGCTGCTTCCTCTGCTTCCAATGTTTTATGGCTGCCTATTGCCTGCAAGTCAGAGTCCAAACTCCTTAATGAAGACATAGAGGCCTTTGCGCTCTGCTTATTTACTTTGCTCATCCTGTCTACTGAAGTTTCATGGTGGCAGTGGTTGTAGCTGGTGTGCTCATTGCTGAATTTACAGCTTTGAGAAGAGTGTGCTTGGCACATGGTAGGTTCTCAGCAGATATTTACAAATGAGGGGATGAGTGCTCAGTTCTCTGGCAGGATCTCCAGGCATCCCTCCCTCTCAGTCCTCAGCTAGTATGAGTCTTAGGGACCACATGCATTTCTTCTTGAGTCTCCATTTTCTCTGTGTCAAGGTATGTACAGTTTCCTGAGTCTGGGAAACTCCTTCCCATCCTGTTCAATTGGCTGAGTCCTCCTTCCTGCTGAAGTCTTTCCTGGGAAGCATTTTCTGAGCCTCTAAACTGGTGGAGAGACCTCTCTCATAGGGTTCCAGAGCACCAGATGATCACCCCCATTGGAACACTTGTCATTTATTGAGCCATTAGGCCAGGCTCTTTCTAAGTAATTTTTCAGATATTATTCATTCTTTTGCTCAAATCTATGAGACAGCTGCTAATAATACTTCTAATTTATATATGGAAAAACGGAGGCTTGGAAGACTTAAGTACCTCAGGTACCAAGATAGGAAGGGGTAAAAGCAGGATTTGAACTCTTATTATCTAGCTCTATTTGCTATATTCTTAACTCCTACACTTATTCTTCTGAGGGCTGAAATTGCCATGACCTTGCCTGTTTTTCCTAATGGATTGTGAGTTTTTTGAGAGTAGGAACTTTATTATGCTTTTGACTTTGTCCCTGGTGACATATGCTTAGTATACACACTCAATGGATTCTTGGTGAACAAAACCCAGCAAGGCAAAGTCCCTGTCCCCTACTTCCACGTCCACCTAGGAAGCTCCCCACCAAGTCCCACAGTGTTTTATCGATATAGGCTATGGAGAGTGGACTCTTATCAGTGTTCTTTGGGAAAGCACAGGTCTACAGATTTCCCAGTGTCAAAGACATATCAAAGAGTAGATGAATGGAATATGGTGGTGCATGGTATCCATGGTGGGAAGGATGCTCTGGGCTCACAGGGAGGTTTTCCCCTCTAATCCAGTGGTTCTCAACCTTCCTATGCTGCAACCCTTTAATATAGTTCCTGTGGGTCGCAACCCACAAGTTGAGAACTGCTGCTCTAATCAAAAGAGAAGATTTGAGTCCTGTTTCAAGAATCACTCCTTCCTGCTCAGAAATCAGAGTTTTCTTTTTCTCTTTAAGATTAAATGCTACCAGACTCTGTTGATTACACCTCCAGCCTTGAGCCCCTTTATCTCATTGGAAAGAGCCCTCCAAATCTCCCTTTAGTTTTGGACATAACAGATTGCCAGTGAAGTAGGGGACACCTGAGAGCCTGTGTGAGCAGGGAGGATAACCTTTCCAAGTGATTGCTGGCATGGTGTTCAATGTTTTCTGTTCTCCAGGTCCAGAGCTTCCTGTATAAAAGTCTTAAAGAATATCATCGTGGGAGCTCAGGGTACTTGCTGAACTCTGACTAAATACAAGCCTGTGATTAAATTATTTCAAAATCATGTCAAGTGCTGAGTATATATTTTTTGGTAAACACTTGAACCTGAGCCAGCTTTTACTCAGCAGTATCCAGCCTTGGGGGATGTAGAAGTCTTATCTTCAAAGCCAGTGGGTTGGGTAGATTTCAGGCATCTCCTGGAAATAAGGGATTCTGATAAGACTCTCATGGCCCGGCCCATGCTTTTAGTTTTAGTTTTTTCCCCTCCCTCTTCTTCGTTTAACTTTTTAAAATAAAAATTTCCTGTAACACACTCAAAATGACAATCTTTGAAGAAAGAAAATTTATGAAGAGGTTGCCTTTTGTGTCTCTTTCTTTCTCTGGCTCATAATCCCCTAAGTTCAGAGCATTCGGTGGCAGAGTAGGGGTGCGTTGGGGGGAACCTGAGCTCCTTGACACTGCCCCCACCATGTTGATACTGAGAACAATGACACCAGTAGTTCTGGAGTCACAATTTTTCTCTAATAGTTCAAAGCAGATTTTTTTTATCTCTTTCTACTTAAAAGCAGGTGACTTTTTAAAAAAGATCTATTAACTACCTACCACGAGTGAGATGCTGTGCTTGAGAGAAACACAGCAAAGGATTGTGCAGTGTTTCCTGGTTCCTCAGGAGCTCTTGGAACAAGAGCGGGCATGACACATTCACAGGTGTACATGCTTTCCCTGGCTGGGTCAGCTTGTGGTGCCACCAATGCACCAGTCCACACAAACGCAATTACAAGTCTTCTTTATCTCTAGATCTGGATCAATTAGGGATGCATTTGGCTGCAAGCAGCAGAGAAACCAATGGAGAGTCATTTAAACAGCAATTGGAGTTTATTTTTCTCACGTTACCATAGGTGCTGAGGTTTAGCAGCCTCAGGGTTCAGGGTTAGTGGAGTGCCTCTTTCAGTTTGTGCCTTTTCCTCATGATCACAGGTGACCGTTAGAGTGATATACATAGTGCCTACGCTTCAGGCAGGCTAAGGGGAAAGGAAAACATCAGCCACGTCTTTCCCTGTATCTGGAAGCCCTTCCCAGAGCTTCCTGCAGGCTTCTGCTTATGTCTCACTGACCAGAATTACCACATGTGCTTCCACAGTCCGAAGGGCATTCCGGGAAGCCCCATTAACAGTGTTATGCACTCAGTTTCTACCTTGTATCAGTGCAGCCTTCTCAGAGGGCTTTCTCTGTCCATCTATTAAAGCCCCTGTTTCCTAGGAACCTTGCAAAGTGTTTCTGTGGGCTGGACTGGAAGGCAGCTGGGTAAGCAGTGTCCCTTGCCTCATGACAGGTGTCCCCAGGCCTTCCTTTCCTTCTCTTGGAGCAACTTCTTTCCTCAATGGAAACATTATTTTGAAAGTTGAGGAATAGCAGGAAGGGTAGATCTGGGGTAAGGCCAGATGTCAGTCTACATGTAGTGCAACAACCCCAGGGAGCTCTGTCAGACAATGTCCAGGCTGGGTCAACACAGATGTGCCTGAGTTCCTGGTGAGTATGTGGCTTATGCCTTTATGCTGGGATTCTTATGAAAGACAAGAAAGAAGGAAAGAAAGAAAGAAAAAAAGGAAGGAAGGAAGGAAAGAATGAAAGAGAGAAGGAGAGACTGAGAGGGAGGGAGGGTGGGAGGGCAGATGAAAGGAAGGAAGGAAGGAAGGAAGAGAGAAAAACAATCAAATAAACAGAAACACCTGAACTTCGCTACAGAGAAAAACATGGTAAATGTGAGTTACCACAACACGCTGTGATAACACAGAAGGGAAGAAAAGATTTTCAGAGTAGAAACATGTGATAGTTGGTGGGAGGCGGACAGGAAGGAGGAAGAGGCCAGTGCATGCATTACATCTTGTTCATTTTTTCATTTATGCACTTATTCAGCAAATACTAATTTCTCTTTCCATAGCCAGGAAAAATAGACCTGTCTTCTGCCCTGTGGGAACTTAGATCTCATGTAGAAGATAGACAAAGATAAGGTAATGACCCAGATAAAAAATATAAAATTGTGGAAAGTGTAAGGGGGGAGAAAGCCCTGGTGCTCAGTCGATATAATCAGAGGATTCCACACACCCACAGAGGTCAGAAAAGGACATGTAAGGGTTTGTGCGGTTTCCACACGTGGAGGGAGGGAGGAGGCATCTGGTCTGGAGGAACAGACTGAGCATTGGGCGGGGCTAGAAAGGGTTGCCCACGTGTGGGGAAAGGCAGCATGCCTGAAAATGGCAGAGAACAAATGAGAGTTGATTATGTACCAGTCCTATAAGGTAAGAATTCCCTTAGTTTTGCTTCCTCCAAATGTAGATTCTGAGATGAAGACTTGATGCAGGTAGCTTATTGGGGAGTTAATTCCAGGGAGCACAAGCAAGGGAGTCCAGAGACTGGGTCAGGAATTAAGGAGACATCTGAATGGAGGTCACCTGCTGAGGCCGGTAAACTCTCCTCCTCCAGAGCTTCCTGAAAAGGACACAGTTCTCCCACTACTTTTTGCTTAAAGGAACAGAATGAGGAGCCCCTGAGACACCTGCTATGGGTGTTATATTCATTTTAAAGCTGAAGATCAAAAAATTTCAATCCCTTGCCCAAATTTACATGGCCAATAAATGACAGAGCAGGGAGGATTTGAACTGAGGTGGGTTGCAACTGCAAAGCTCGTACTCTTATCAGCATACTCCACTGTCCTCTTCATCATATATTTAAAATATACATTGTCAAAACTGTAATGAATTTTGATGGATTTTAATATCAATGTTGACATGATATTTTTCTAACAGTCATTAATCCTTCCAGCCCTAAAAGTGATGCTTAATCTCTGATTCTGCTATAGTAACCTGAATAAGAGGTGTCACTTCCCTGAGGGCAGTCAAGAGATAACATCATGTGATCTATGAGGGAAACTAGCCCTGTGAGAATTTAATCCAGTCATACAGTTTTGAAAGGTCTGAGGTAGATTAAAGATGCTCACAAATTCTTTGCTATTCTTCTGTCAAAAGTGGAGTCTAAATTCCTTTCCCCTAAATATGGGCTGGACTTAGTGTCTTGCTTGACAGCCAAGGCAGAAGTGACTTTCTGGGACTTCCAAGGTTTTCTCATAGGAATTCCTGCAGCCTCCAACCTGGTCTCTTGCATGGAACCTTCACTGTTGGAGTTCTGAGCACCATTGTCAGTATCCAGCTGCTCTGAGTCTGCCATGCTGGAGAGGCCCCAGGTCAGTGCTCCAGGTGAAGTTCTCCATTGAGCCCCACATTCCAACTGTCCCTGTGAAGAGGCCAGATGTATAAGAGATCCTCCAGACCAGACCATCTCCCAGCTGAGTGCCACCTCTATTGGTGCCACATGGAACAGATGAATCGCTTAGCTGAGCCTTGCCCAAATTTATGATCTACAAAGTTGAAAGGTAAGACAACATACTTGTTCTTTTAGGCCTCCAAGTCCTGGGGTAGTTACTCAGCAGTAGATAACTGGAACATGGCACCACTTTCTATTTCTTCTAGTTCTTCTCATCACTGCAGTATTACCCTTCTTAGCAGACCATGTAGCATCTTTAAATTTAGGCCAAAATATTAGGTTGAAATCCAGTGGTTTGAACTAAGTTCTGACATAGACACATTTAGTAACCACTGAGAAGTCTGGAAATTTCTTTCTTTTGCTCTGTTAATGTGTAAACAATTTTGAATCAAGCATCTGAAGAAGAAGTTTTCCTACTAGGTAAAAACATACTCCATTCTTATCACTGAATTTTAAGTTGTAGACTCAAGTCTTAAGAGTCCATCTGTAAACACCAGTGTTGAAAGCAGTAGAAACTAATAGCTCTTGTGAGGGGCTTTCTATGGGGTTGGTAAGTAAAGCAATAAACACAGGTGTGTTTTCTGAGAGAAAATAAAGCAGAAAGTAGGACAAAGACTTAGGGGAGTGTCCACTGTCCAAGGAGACCCAGTTAGGTGCTGAGAAGGTGAGGGGAAGGTTTGCAGAGTTCCTGTCAAGGCTTCAGCAGACATTGGTGGCATCTCCTGTCACAAAGAATCAAGAGACTGACAGTTCAGATGAGGGCATGGCTTCTTCCCTTTGCAGGCACCCTGTGACCTCTGCTATATCATTAGGTAGTCACATATTTATTTTCTGTCACTAATTGTGTAACCAACTTAGTGAGATATCTTACCTCTCTGGAGGCAAAGGTTTGACATGGTCCTATTTTTCCAGTAACCACAGCTGACTTATGATTTCCTAACAATTCTTTGGTCTATTTTCATAACTTTTCAATAATGTTGGGTTATTAGAACAATCTAATTCGGATTTTTAAGACTTTATCTTCATTTTGAAGTTTTAACTGTCTGACCTATTTCTTCCTTTTTACTCACTAGTGTGTACTGTGTATGCAGGGGTTGGCTGTGTTATACTCCCCTCTATCTCCCATGAGCTCATGGGTAGGTCAATGCTGCAGGAGGGAAAGGGAGAGCCCTTAGAGACCCTGTCAGTGGCTGCCCTTGGCCAGGCTGCCATCCTCTTCCTCCTGGCTAACGCAACTTCCTCATGCTGCCCTGCCTGGCTGTCTGCAGGGAAAGAGGGCATAGTGTCTTCTGGAGAGTCCTGGGGAGGGTGGACTCATTCTCCACATGTCTCTGGACTTTACGAAGATAATAACAGACTTACGCCTCACATTCCGTTATTGGAACCTTGCATTATTTATACCTTACTGCTCAAGGTCACTACTGAGGTGTGATTTTTCACAGGTGTCTGCTCCTGAGGGTACACATTATCATGTGGTGCACAGATTTAGTCATTGCTGCAGATACTGGCATGGTGGGAGCTTGTCAAAAGTCATTCAAAAAACTAAAAAAATTCTACCTCTAGCATCAGTGGGTTAATATCTTCCTCACCTTGATGTTTTCTGGCTGAAGAATCCTCCTCATTTCAGAGTGTCTCCCCTGAGAACTCTTCGTCTGAACAAAAATACAAGGCTTCATCTTCTGAGCCTCACGGCAGAGCAGGCACCAGGAGGAGCCTGCTGACCCTGAAGAAAACAGAGGCTGAGAAGGCAAGGAGCTGCCCAGGGGCACACCCATGGCCGGTGGCCTTGCCTCTCTGTCTTCTGATCTAATGTTTATCCCACAGGAGGTACACGTGTCCACCCCAACCACTGTGCTGCTGAGAACTTCCTTCAGCCTAATTATGTTCCTTTTTAGCTGCGGTAACCCCAAGTTCATGCAGTGTTCCAATTCTGGCCGAGGTCGTGTAAACACAGGATGGGGGTTTGTTTCTGACAGCAGCCTGCTGTGCAGCCCTTTGATAAAAATGGGGGGCAGTCCGGTGTGGGGGGCACTACCAGGAAACAGCCACAGTGATTCCTGGGTTTCTTTTCAGGGCTGTAATGGATAGATTACAGCCCTGGTATTTATCTTATAAAAATAGTATGGATGACTTTTCTGGAAATCATTTTAAAAGAAAACTATAATCACACATACTTCTTGAGAAAGACAGCTATGGTTTCCTGACTACTACTCATTACTTTGTCAGAGCTTTTGAAAGCTTATCAGTTTGCCATTTTGTTATCTGGAAGACTTGAGAGTCATTTGTAAGGGCTGAGATTTCCCTGTACACTCCCATGTTTTATATCTTGGACAAGTATTCATTTATCCTGCAAGTTGGTTTGGGGCTCCAGGTTTCCTGTCTAGACTTGCTAACTGCCTGCTTGGCTTCTGGCTGCATTTGGAAGTCACCAGGCTGGGACCTGGGGCACATCAGAAGCAGGGCCAGACTCAGGGGCTTCTAGGCAAGGAGAATTTATCAAAACTGGTGATTTTTTTACTTAGAGAAGTCAGGAAGGGGCATGATAAGAGTCTAAAATCATGAGGTAATTTAAATTGGGTTTACAGAACATGCTAGAATAAGGAAAGTGCTATCTGATGCTTGACAAGGACAAAGGAAATGAAATGGTTTTTTAAAAATCCGGGAAATGTGTGGAAGTCCTTGACAAAGACATGGCATATACTAAAGTGCCATAAGTTTCACATGGCGTCTAAGGCAATCAATTTGTGGGATAAACAAAAGGTCACTTAGGGGAACGTAGGGGTATTTCTTTCATTAGAAAAATTAAAATTAGAACTGCAATGGGACACAGGAATTCCACTCATGGGCGTACATCTCAAGGGAGTTGAATTCAGTGTGTTGAAGAGACAGCTGCACCCCCATGTTCACTGAAGCATTATCCTCAATAGCCAAGACATGGACTATAAGTGCCAGCCTAGGTGCCCATCAGCAGATGAATGGGTAAAGAAAATGTGGATAAAGAAAAATACATGTATCTGGAATATTA